AATGTCTGTAATTTATTTAATCAAAAAGAAGAGAATTTGCTGCCTACACACACACACACACACACACACACACACACATATATATATATATATATAAGGGGACACTGAGATCAACGCGAGTGGTGACAGTCAGTTTCAAGCTTGAATACAATATTCAAGCCGAAATAATGCGTTCAAGCATGAAGCACCCTGTCGATACGCGATTTTAGCCTCAGTGTCCATTTATTATATATACAGACACTCTCTCCCTGATATTGAGCTCTTTTATCCATTATATATATATATATATATATATATATATATATATATATATATTTTTATATAATTTTTTATTTAAAATATAATTCCAACTCGCGACATAAGAGGTCTCATGTTTCAAAACAAGAGCCGAAAACTTCAATATAATTATTTGAATTAAATTGAGTTAAAGTAAGCTCTGTTTCATCTTCAAGCGAAATTTTTTTGGAATAACGTATTTCTGAAATTTACGTGTTTAAATAATTGAAATCGAAATTTCCATGGTAACAGCTAGGGCGAATTGTTTAAATTGGGTAGGCGTGTGTTGGGTGTTAATAATAAGTATCAGTATAGAGTAACTATCATAGATGTCAAGTCAGGGAAAGGTGGGGGTGTCTAAATTTGAAACGGAAGAAGTATTAACTCTAGTCTGGTTTGCGTGTCTATGGAGATTCATTTATTTTTTATTTTATTTTTTTATGAAAGGGATTTGTGCATATAAAAAAACTGTCGTAACTTTTGTTTTTTGACGACTTCATAAAGGGTTATCTTTTTTGTAGGGTATTTAAACTATTTATTTTGGCTATGGATTATGAAAGTTATTATATTGTATGCTTGTTTTTAGCTAATTATTCAAACCATAAATCTGATGATGTCGACAAAAAACCGTTAACTCATGTCTATTGTTTAATAGATTATTATTATTATTTAGAAGCTTAATAATGTGCAATTTCTCATGGAGGCACAAAGGGCATGGGTCATCCCAAGTTTTACATGTTCTAGCCCTGTTTATAATTTTCCATTTTACTTTAGGTGTCCTATTTGTTTCCTTCAGATGCAAAAAATATTTAGATAGGGAAGTCTGATTTCTTTTATTTATATTATTGAAAGAGTACTTATGCTGCCTCCATCTATCTTTAAAATTATTCTTCGTGGACCCAATGTATATCATATTAGTGCTAGGACTCTCAGTGGATGATATAGTACATTGGTATACCACAGATTTAATGCAGCATTTATTTTCTAATGGGCAGTCTTCTAGATTTCTACAATTGCATAATTTTTCCCTTTCATTGTCTGATTTAAGTGCAGGGTTTTTATTAATACTGTTTAGGCATGGGGGTTTGTTCAAGATCTTATTATTGTGTTTTTTTTATTATAAGTTCAAGATTTTCAGAGCAGCTGTAACTCAATTTTAGGGTGTTCTTATTGAATATATTACTAAGCTTACTATTGGTGAGGAAGTGTTTATCAATTAGAGCTAAGAATTTCTGTCCTATATGTATGTATGTATGTATGTATGTATGTATGTATAGTAATGATACAATATGGTAATCTATATGGAATTTCCAAGAGGATACAGATAACTAAAATACTAAGCAACTTTGGATTATTTACCTAACCAGTTCCTTCCTATTTTCTATATATTTTCACATATTATTATTTTCACGTATTTTCACACACACACACACACACACACACACACACACACACACACACACACACACACACACACACATATATATATATATATATATATACATACAACACAGACACCCATACACACATATATATATATATATATATATATATATATATATATATATATATATATATATATATATAAATAAAAGTTATATGGAATTTTATTTAGTTAATCTCAGAAAATAACATTACAACTAATATTCTAAGCATCGTTTGCATCTATTTTTTTAATAAACAATATTCGAAATACATGTATTGAAAAGGAAAAATGAAAAAAAATAAATAAACGAAAAAGAAAAATATATCTTAGCAAAGTTGGCACAAGTAATTTATTGTTGATTTTGCAATGCTTAAATTAATTGCTACAAAGATCACTTGATGTAATTTAGCACTCCCTTCCCAACTCTCTGCTATGATAATAATTCAACATTATTATGTTGTGGCTAATGAGGGCTACTTATCAATATCTCGAACATGAAGTAACCACTTAAGCCGAAGCGTTCAAGGAGACGAGAGAAAACGAATAACCTTTGACGGACGTGAAGAGATAACAAAGTTAACGGTGTTTTCACAGAGCTGATTGCATGCGACATAAGTATTAAGAGATCTCATCACGTTCAGAACGGAACCGTTGGCAGCTAACTGCTGAGATCGAGGACATGACAGATATTCTCTCAGTAAATAGCCGAAGAATTTATAGCTTACGGAGGTTTCCAAAACTATGCTTAAATCTTGAGACTTGTGTATCTTTGCCTAGTATTGCAAAAGGCCAAATGAGCAAGGTGATTATCAGAATAAAGACTGGCTTAGCCTCATTCTACAACCTGGAGAGATAATCTGTTACTTTTCAAAATCGTTATTCTAAATCTTGTTTTTATTTTTATTTTTTTAACTGATTAAAACATTGAGACCAGGTAGGTACGCTACTTGTTCAATGAAAAGACAAACCGTATTTTCTCGAATATCGTTCACATTCATTTCAAGCCTTTCTCATCGTTCTAAATTCGATGTTCGTAGTGCTGTGGGAGACGCACGTTCGAATCCTGCTGGTGTCACCAGTTGTAAAAAATTGAGGGAGTGAAAAATTAGATTGCGAAAATGTTCAACTTGTCCACAAAGAGAAAGCTTATAAAGTGTAAATCCAAGATGTTTATATTCCAGAAACAGCTTTTTTTTTGTTCAGTGTTTTGTAATACTTTTCAGACGACAAAGAATAGACGAGATTCAAGAAGACTTCATAATTAACTCGACTTGCACTGTTATATCTGGTTGATACTCAAATTATCTTGGGAACTGCTTGTACTAACTGACAATTTGATAAGTCGTCCTTTTACTTATATCCCATACGCAAACGTAATAGTAGGCACAAATGCACCTGAATATTTAACGTAAAATTCTTGACTATTTTAAATGATGTTATTTGCAGGGTGTAAAATTTATAATAATCCTACATACTTAAATGCTGAAACTTTGCTGATTAATAATTTCGTATTTTTTTACAAGATGTATAGTTTTTAATTTTCTTCGCGATTTATAAGTTAATTAGTATTTATTTAGCATGGGTTTCCAGTTAGTAGGGATATTGTATCTTATTAATTTTTATTAAAAAAAATACTTATTAATTAATAAAATAACGAACGCCTCTAATTTATCCATTTCTCCAAATCTTGATTTATATGGATTTTTAAAGTCCTGAGTGTGCAGGTGGTGCTATACTTCAGCTCGGAATAAGAAAACGGCGAGCCGAGTTCAAACTCTGGTCGAGATTCTTATATTCATTTACGGATAAATACCCTTCGGGAATGTATGAAAACATCTATTCTACTCTCAGTTATCAGGTAGAGAGTAGGACAGACTGGAATCTCTAGCCCCGATCAGCAATTAGTATAGAAGAAATATAACGCTCAATTCAAAGCCCTATGTTTCTCTAGTTGGGCACATACCCGAAATATAGCTAAGGTCTTCTCAGAATAGTTACAGTATAATAAACCTTTGTGAATGTCAATGAAACATAAAGGGACCTGAGCAGATGGGTATGCTTGGAAAAGGTCACCCATGTTGATGATGAGAAAGTTTTTTTTTTCACAAACCCTGCAGTTCTGGTCTGTACAATTTTATAACCTGTCACCCTTAATTAATTTCAGTTAAATAAGCACTTTTCCATTGGCTTTTACCTCATGTACTCGAATCTCATTTACGCATACTTCGAAAATTTACGTTTCTAAATTCGTTGTTCGTAGTCTGGTTGAGTTCAATTTATTTAAATTGTCACTTCAATTAATTTGTGTTAAATAAACACTTATCTCTAATTTTATTTAACTGAGATAGATTAGACCCTGATCTAACGTACCGTGTAACCTTAGGTTAGTAGTAATTTTTTGCAGATATTTGTACATTACGACGTTTTTTTGTATACCTTTTGTAACCGTTTTTGCGATGAGAGATACTGTGTAAAGTTTTGGTTTGGTTTGTTTAATGACATATTAAGTCCTAATTTAATTTTCTTGGGAGCTTTGGCAATTCTTCCTATTGCTGGTAATTTTTCTCTTTCTTTACAGATAATGTATTGCTGGTAATTTTTTTACCTTACGAAAAAAAGATATTTTTATATTTTCATAGCGTTTTGTTTGGAGGCACGGTAGAGTAGTGGATAGCGGCTTGGATTGAGAAATCGTCCTAATACCCTTTGGAAAAAGTATGAATCCTCTTCTTCTTTCCAAGCTATGAGTAAATAACAAGACGGAATGAGTTCTATATCCTTGGGTGGCAACGGGTCTAGGAGATGGAAAAAGTGAATTCAAAACCAGCCTGAGAAACACCAGTGCTACAGTGGCTGTGCTACACATGGTACCCTTACGGGTCACGGAATAATAAAAAAAAGTTTTGACCCACAGTTTCATAGATAGTATTGCATGAATGAAAACGTCGAGATTACCAGTTTTAACTAAAAATCATTTTGGTGGATTGACTTGTTTTTACGATTTATGAAACTGTGATAGGTTAATTAATTTTACGGTTTATCAAATTGTGGTAGGTTAATTTTAGCCGAAAATTCATCATTTTGGATTGTAAGAATAATTTATTTTTTGTTAATGAATATTGAATAAGTGTTTTATTTATTTATTATAATGATATCCAGATAAAAGGCCTATTATTTAACCTATAGCAGCAGGGACAAGAGTGGGGACTTGTAATTGCCTAAGTGAATGTAACGAACCTACTGGAATTCGAACTCGGCTCATTATTATGTTATGCGTTATACCACCCGCACATCCATGATTACAACACCTGGCATTACCAAACGGTCAACCATCTAGGTACTGATCAGGCCTAACGTTGCTTAACTTCACTGATCGCACGAGAACCTATGTCTCAGCGTGATATGTCCGTAAGTATATTTTAAGAAATCACGTGGTATGAGCATATTTTATTTTTGGTTTTCGTACCGAGCGGGGATATCAATTTACAATGAATTTATATAACAAATTAAACGGTCCTAGGAACTATTTTATACTCTGGAGTATTTAATCTGTGGTAATACTTAAAATAAAAATAAAAAATTCTGGTCGCAATCTTTATTGTATAACTTCATCAATTTTTCTTATTAATGTTAACTAAAACGTGTTGATAGCAGACACGGAAAGGAAACGGCCAAAGCTCAACAGAAGATAGCGAAGGAAAGCGATAAGAAATGGCTAAATAAAATATAAACAGCAAGAAGAGAGAATACGTGGTTGCCAGCGAAAGGAAGAGCTCAAAATGGAAATTAGCAATCAAGGATACTAAAATCAAAGAACTACAAAAAGTTAATTATCTGGGAATTGTTCTAACAGTGGACGGAAAGTGCGGCATTGAGATCTGAAGACACATTGCGATAGCCAAAGTTGCCTTCCAGAAGCTAAGCAGATTATTAAGAGACAGAAAAGACTTCGTTACTAACGAAAAAGAGAGTGCGGAATTGCTAAGTGATATCTGTCCTCTTATATGGTAGTGAATGCGGGACAATCTCCTCAGAGATGAAGAAGTGACTTGAAGTAACAGAAATGTGGTTCTGCATGTGAGATGTGAGCAATGACGAGGTTTTAGAGAAAATGGAAACAAAAAGAAAACTTATACTTAACATTAGGAAGAGGCAGTTGAAATTTCTGAGGCGCGTAAGGAGCAATGAGGACTTGGAAAATCTGACACCCACAAGAGAGATTGAGGGAAAGAAGGACAGAGGAATGTAGCGTGTAACATACTTGATGGTCTTCAGTCAATGGATTGTGGAACAGGGTTTAGAAGAAATAAGTAAAAGACAAAAATTATTAAGAGCTACGAGGAGCAGAAAGACGTGGAGAACCATGATCGGATGCGTCCTGAAGAGACACGGCACATACAATGGGAAGAAAATCATTTAGATACGTTTTTAAAATATCCACATCTTAGTCCAAATGCATGTTTAGAGAGCACAACATGAAATTGATATATACATATATGTATGATGGAAAAGGCAAAAGGACATTTTTTTGCCTTCTTAAAGTCCGTCGAATGACGAATAGTGTCGGCTAAACTAATTTTTTCTTTTGTTTTTTCATTCATTTTGTTTCTTTTACGGATATACTATATCTGAGATTATATCTATCTATTTATCTATCTATCTATCTACACACACACACACAAACATATATATATATATATATATATATATATATATATATATATATATATATATATATATTTTATATAAATGAATATTGTTTAAATTGTGATCACATTGTTATGGTTTGGAATTGTTTATGTATGTACTGCACGTGCATTCAAAATCATAATAATCTGACCACATTTAAACAATATTATTTCATTAATATATATATATATATATATATATATATGCCAGTCAATCATCAAAGATGAAGAAGAGACTTGAAGCAACAGAAACGTGGTTCTATATCTGAGATGGGAGCAACGACGAGGATATATATATATATATATATATATATATATATATATCAATTTACAGAGAGAGAGAGAGAGAGAAAGAGAGAGAGAGAGAGAACGAGAGGGAGATATTTCTTGAATATTACTTGCTTACTTTTGCCTTACCAGATTTTAATTATGGAACTATGTGTTCTCCACATGTTTTGACTGGCAATTCGACCACCTGATGAATATTCATGAACGCTCTCAGAATTAAAACCTTTATAAACCAATGAAATGCTTGTTTTTCGTATATAAACAAACGCAACAAAATAAATCCTTGCATTTTTGAAGTAATAAAGTTCCTCAGAGGACGAAACACGTCAGCTAAGAACAGTTTTTCCTCCTGTATTTTGTTTATTTTGTTCCTTTAGAGATGCACTATATCTGAAAATAATTTACAAACAAACACACTCACACACACATAGACAGAGACACAGACACACACACACACACACACACACACACACACACACATATATATATATATATATATATATATATATATATATATATATATATATATGCCTTCGACAAGCCCTACATACTAAAAATGAACAAAGGAGAAACAGTTTACTTCAGGTTGATATGCATAATACGTTTAACTCATATCGTTAATTTTATAACAGCTCAACGAAACATTGCTACATCAGAAGAATCAAGCACTAGTAATAATACTTAGTCGAAAATACGCATTTGAAATTCCCCATTGAATCGTGTACTGCCATAAGCAGAAGAGACGATGCCTTTTGAACCGTGTCTTGAACGCGAGATTGTTCATTGGAAAGGCCAATAACTATTAGACCTGCTTGTTACGTTTTGTGACTAGAGAAGTGTATTATGCAAGGAGAATGCATCATGTTTGCCCAATTCTATTGACCTCCGATTACATCTCTTCACTTGAAAAGAGTAAAGAAATGCTACAGCAAATACGAACATGCTGTTGCATTAGAAATCTTTGAAAACTAACGGTACAAGTGAATATTTTGCAGTTCTTTCTTTGCCAGTCGTATACGAACTAACAAATTACATTTACAGTTAATTTACATAAACGACATTAAGAGGTTAGAATCTGTAGAAATTTCGTCTTTTATTTTCGTCAGCATACGCAAGGTAAATCATCTTTCTGATTCTTTAATTATATATTAAATATATAATTATTATACATGTGGTAATATTTTAATATAATATACATTTAACGTGAATAATTTAAGTACAGTAATATGTGTTTGATGAGGATATGGCCCAGTATTCAACAGGTGAGACTTTAGCTTTAAAATAGAAAAACAAAAACAAAACAATGATAATATGTAAATAATTCCACAGACAAATGTTTTATAATACTATAATTATATGTAATTTTGGGAGAAGCACAAATATCTAAACTTGGGACGCGCAAATGAAATAACAAACACCAATACGCAGTCGGGTAACAGAAGGTTATTATATATACTGGGTGTAACGGAGAAATTGTTCAAATCGTGTAACATAATAATTATTCATCCCACAAAATGTTTAATATCTAAAGCACCACAAAACGAATTGAGTTTCTTTTTTCCACGTTTTCAGATAAGACGTTTAGCTATCTGGAGACCATTTGTCGTACCAACTCAGCAATGGTGAGAAGAAAAATATCATTCAATCTTTCCGTAATGGTACCAGCATTCATACTCTGGCTCCTATCTTCAAAGTCCATTCAAGAAGCATCAAGAGAACGGTGAATAAGTTTTAAAAAGAGGGAAAAGTAGGGAGGAAAACTGGATCAGGAAGTCACAGCATGAAGAAGAATCATCATTTCAACAATTAGAAAAGATCCAACTCAATTCCTAAGGCGTTTGTCACATCAGAGGGGAGCTTCAGCTATGACAGTCCAAAGATCAGTGAAATAAAGAGCTGAAAATTAAATCGTACTTGATAACTGTGAGGCAACTTGTTACTCCAGGACAGAAAGTTAGAAGATTAGAAAGCACAAAGATCATCTTGAATAAGTTGGAAAATGATCTTGGACCAATATATATATATATATATATATATATATATATATATATGAAGAAATATAGTCTTAAGATGTGCTATATTTATGGGATAAAGTGCTCAATATCAGAGATGTAAATATAAAAGTGCACATAGAGGTCAACACTTAGAGGTTCTGTTCACTTTTATATTTTTATATATATATATATATATTTACTGTTATAAACTACAATCTTCCATGAATCTCGTACATTCATAACTGCTCTGGCGTATCGAATGTAAACAAATGACGTCATATGTTAAGAAATGGACGAGGTTCGACAATTTATTTATTAAAGACATTTTTATTTATGTTTAACGTTGTTATTTTATAGGCATAAATTCGACCTTGTCTACCATAAGGTTCATGGTGGCCGAGTGGTGAAGGCACGTCAGCGTATATGACGGTTCCGTATAGGATGCAGGTTCGAATATATATATATATATATATATATATATATATATATATATATATATATATGAACATTATTTCAATATTGCATGGGCTTCCAATCCTTAGCTATGATTAATTAATGATGAACATGTCATTTTCGTTTATGATCGTTATCATCATGCTACTTCTGTTAAGCATAGTGAGTAATTATACATTTGTATCGATCAAAGTAGAGTCCAACAGCGTTATAAAAGGCTCGGAGAATCCAAGTAAGAGATCTTTAATTATTTTAAAGGTATGACGTTTCAGAGCCTAATATAACAGTTGGACAAATTTGTTGCTACAGGATTTGGACAATTTTGCTGCTACACACTGTATATATGATTATAATTGTATATTCGGCGTCTTTTATAAAAGTTTCAAACAAAACAACAGACAAGATACTGCAGTTAATTTTTTATTTCGTTTTTCTTGTGTTCTTAAACTTTTCTTTTTTTCTGGGCGGAAATTATGTAGAAATTGTACAGATGTTTTGTATAACCTCATCTATATGGGAAAAAAAAAATTAATAATGGAAGCATTATTAATAAAACAGAAAAACCCAATACTCAATAGTGTCAACTATGAACTTGGCCACAATGTGTTAACCGTATTCGGAAAATAAAACATTCTTATAGCTCTAGATACATACATAAATCAATTCATAATTTCAGTTAAAAATAACAATAAAATAATTCTTGTCAGTGGTTAAAATTATAGCCGAAAGCGCTAGGGCATAAAAAAACACTTGGACAATTTTTACATAATTTACGCCCAGAAGATAATTATAAGAAAACAAAAAATAAATAAAAAACTTGAAGAACCTTGTCAGTCATTTTAGTGATTCGTGTCTGCATATATATATATATATATATATATATATATATATATATATATATATATATATATATATATATATGTACCATAACCTTCCATACGTATGGCTTTAACATTGTATTTTTTTTAAATATTTCTGATACCCTAGA